TAATCAGAACCAAAACAGATGTTTTTAGCAGGTACGAGCTGTAATGGCGCAGTTCTTTTCTGGAAAAGGGGGCGGGGAGCAGCAGCTCATTTGCATTTAAAGAGACAGGCACGAAAAACAATGTGTTTCTGCTTCCACTCAAAATAGGCATTTTCAAAATGATATAATAAATGATATGTGGAGTATTTTGAGCTGAAACTTCACAGACACATTCTGGGGACACAAGAGACTTATATTACATATTGTAAAAAGGGGCATAATATGTCTCCTTTAACATAAATCGGAGCTGCTAATAATTTAATCTGAATCGCAATTTATTACTTTTGACATTGCACCAAGATCTAGCCTACTGTTCTTTGAGACTTGAATGGAATAGAATAGATTTTTATTGTTATTGTTTTAAACAACGAAAGACTGTTTAGCAGCTCACAAGGTTTTGGCATAATAGACCAACATAAATAGATACAAATAAAACTAAAATAGACAAGAAGAGAGGTATTCCAGAAGGTAATATATACAATGGTTAGTGCAAGATATTGTAGTCTAGTCTCAAGTCTACTTGATTTATAGAGACCTTTCCACTACAAAGTAGACCAAAGGACTGTACAGCAACACAAGATGAGAATAGTAAAAACTAAAATCAACAATAACAGAAAAACAATTTACATCTTCCAAAAGTCAGCAATTAAAAGCCATAGAAAACAAGTGTTTTCACGAGATTTAAAAACATCAACTGAGGGTGCAGCTCTGATGTCAGGTGGAAAGGTATTCCACAGTCTTGGGCCAGCAACTGAGAATGCACGATCCCCCTTAGTTTTCAGGTGAGTTTTCGGAACTGAGAGCAGTAAGCAGTTAAATGATCTTTGATGTCTACCATAGTTAATATGAATCAGGTCCGTAATATATTCTGGGGCCATATCATGGACGGCTTTAAAAACGTACAGAAAAACTTTATACTAAATCCGATATTTAACCGGAAGCAAATGCAGCTTTTCCAAAACTGGAGTAATATGCTCCCTTTTCTTTGTACTAGTAAGGAGCATCGCAGCTGCATTCTGGACCAATTGCAATTTTGAAATAAGAGATTGGCTCACTCCCAAATAAAGTGCATTACAGTAGTCGAAACGGGAGGAGATAAATGCATGAATCACTATCTCAAGGTCAGCAACAGACAAAAATGATTTCATTTTTGCAATGGTCATCAACTGAAAGAAGCAACTTTTCACCACACATTTAATCTGATGATCAAACGTTAGAGCTGAGTCAAAAATTACTCCCAGATTTTTATTTGGGACTGCACATTTGTTGTCCATGTACCTAACACATCATTTATATCACAGTCCACAACCTTATTTGGCCCAAAAATGATTACTTCAGATTTACTCGCATTTAGCTGTAGGCGATTTTGCTCTAACCAGCACTTCACCTCCTCAAGACATAATAACAAAAATTAATGAGAATCCTCCAGATCTAATAGGCAAATAAATCTGAATATCATCAGCATAAAGATGATAAGACATACTGTGTTTTTAAAAAAGAAGGCCTAAAGGCAACAGAAATAGTAAAAACAGGGTGCAAATTGCAATTATAGTGCAAACTGAAGCAAATTAAACAAAAACAACAGTGCAGCATACAGTATACATAGTATTGGTGTATAGGAATGTATATCAGGATGTATGAATAAAAAACATAGTGTAACAGTATAAGATTTGTGTAAACATATGAGAGGTATTTACAAATTAGTGCAAATATGCAGTATGGTGTGTGCGTGTGTACAATTGCACTTGTAGACCTGAGACATTGGTTTATTGTTCGATAATGCTTGGGAGCAGAAGGAGGGAAGGAGGAGGATTTATGCATTTGACTGCCTGAGGGAAGAAACTGTTCTTTAATCTGTTAGTCCTCGTTTTGATTGTTCTGTATCTCTTCCCAGAGGGCAGAGGGGAAAACAGGTGATGTCCGGGGTGAGTGGGGTCCATTATGATACAACTGGCTTTCTTTCTAAGACGGCCAGTGTAAATGTCTTTGAGGGGAAGGTAGTGTTGTGCCAATGATGCGCTCTGCCACCTTCACCACCCGCTGCAGGTCTTTTTTATTCTCTTCTGTGCAGCTGCTGAACCACACTGTGATGCAGTAGGTCAGAAGGCTCTCTATTGCTGACCGATAGAAATTGGTCAGCAGGCGATGAGGGAGGTGTGCCTGTTTCAGTTTCCTGAGGAAGTACAGTCTTTGCTGTGCCTTCCCCACCTGATGGGAGATGTGTGCGGACCAGGTGAGTTCGGCTGAGATGTGCACACCAAGGAACTTAAAGCTCTCTACCTTCTCGACCTTCTTACCCTGTATGCAGACTGCAAAGTGCTCAGTACGCCTTGATCTTCTGAAATCAATGATAAGTTCTTTAGTTTTGGATATGTTTAAGTCCAGATTATTGAGGGAACACCATTTTGTCAGATGCTGGACCTCCTCCTTGTAGGCTGTTTCATTATTGTCTGTAATCAGTCCCACCATGGTGGAGTCATCAGCAAATTTGACAATGGTGTTGGTGGAATGGATGGGGGAGCAGTCGTGTGTGAAGAGCGAGAAGAGGAGGGGGCTGAGGACACACCCCTGTGGTGTACCAGTGTTCAGGATGGGAGTTGATGATGATGATGCGTGACCTCCCATCCAGACATTCTGAGGTCTGTTGCGCAGGAAGTCCAGTATCCATGTACACAATGAACTGCCTAGGTCCAAATTGCTCAGATTTTGAACGAGTTTGTGGGGGATGACTGTATTAAAAGCTGAACTGAAATCCACAAACAGCATTTTTACATAAGCGTTTCCGTAATCCACGTGTGTAAGTGCAGTTTGGAGAGCTTTGATGACTGCATCTTCTGTCGATCTGTTTGCTCGGTAAGCAAATTGGTTTTGGTTGAGATCGGCAGGGATGACAGTTTTGATGTGAGAGAGTATGAGTGTCTTAAAGCATTTGGTGATGATAGGGGTTAGAGCAACTGGACGATAGTCATTCAGGCAGTTTACTGTGGTTTTCTTTGGAACTGGGATGATCATCGCTGACTTGAGGCAGGTGGGGACAGCAGACTGTAATAGCTAGAGGTTGAAAATGGTGGTAAATACCTCTACCAACTGGTCTGCACAGGCTTTCAAGATCCATCCAGTGACTCCATCTGGACCAGCTGCTTTCCTCGCGTTGACCCTGCAAATAGAGTGGATCTGACCCGATGCTGGTGTTGCTGTATCGGGTCTTCCTTTCCTGGCAGTGAAGGATGGGTGCTGACATCACTGTTCCGCTAGACAAAGCGAGAAAAGAAAAGATTTAAAGGGGTCATATGATGCGATTTCAATATTTCCTTTCTCTTTGAAGTGTTACAAGCTCTTGGTGCATAAAGAAGATCTCTAAAGTTGCAAAGACTAAAGTCTCAAATCCAAAGAGATATTCTTTATAAAAGTTAAGAGTCAACCACGCCTACCTAAAACGGCTCGTTCTAACACGCCCCCACATGTCTATGTCACTATGTGGGAAGATTTGCATAACGCCGCCCAAATGTTCACGCAAAGAAAGAAGCCGCAACTTTTATTCTCGCTGTAGTATTGTTGCCGCCACCATGCCGTGGAGACACTGTTTCGTTGTGAAAGCGAAACTACTTTGTTTGGCCTTCAAAAAAAGGAACGATATCATGCCTAGAGCTGACCCGTGCTGGTCGCTGAGGAAATACATCAACTTTGCGCTGTGGATCGCCGGATCGGCTTTCACCGTGGACGAAGCGGAGTCCAGCCCGGGGTCGTCACATGTGGTTGCCGCAAGCCTGCCGGCCGCACCTTCGTCGAGTCCGCCGGCCAAGCCCGCCGCCTCTGCTCACTCTAGCCCTCCAGCCGCCGTGTGTGACTCTGTGTTTCGTTGTGAAAGCTAAACTACTTTGTTTGGCCTTCCAAAAGAGGACACGATTAGAAATCAGTGGTTAAGTTGTATTTACAACACTGTTCCAGAACACTTCAACCCAAATATTCAGATGTGTGCAGCACATTTTATGGAGGACTGTTTCCTGATCCTGGGAGAGTAGACTACAATGCCGGCTGTTCTGACTGTAAGTAAATTTTTTATATTTAAAGAATTTGCCACTGACGATTCAAACGCGAGTTTTGGGCAGTGTAGAGTAGCGCTTGTTGTTTGCCATTTCTCCGATCACAAATGCAGACAGAGTTTTATGTTACACTCCGGCCTGACAGGGCATCATCACAGTATGTTAAGGGGCGTAACATTTCCGTCACACGCTTGAGGAATTCGGCCAATCACAGTGCACTGGATAGCTGGCCAATCACAGCACACCTCGCCTTTTCAGCTTTGTAAAAATCGATGGGTTTCAGAAAGGTGGGGCATAGAGGAGAAACAATAATGTACAGTATGTGAAAAATAATGTGTTTTTTTAACCTTAAACCACATAAACAAATTTCATTACACCAAATACACAAAATAATGTTCTTTTTAGCAACATCATATGACCCCTTTAAATTTGTGTAACTGATGAAACAGTTTGTTGAAGATACACAAGCTGGATTGTAATCAATGGCGTTTCATAAAATGTAACAATGTTTTGTTTCTTTAGAGTTTTAAAAATATATATTAAGAGCCTATTATTGAACTATTAACACTTTAAAAATGTAAACACATCATTGGACTTTTGCTATTTCTTTAAAAGTACTTAAAGAACCGTTAATTAGTAAAACCGGACTCTTTTAAAAACTTTTTTTTTAAAGATTCTCATCCCTATTCCTGAGCGACGTCTGAAGGCTTTGGCATGGAGGAAAACCTGACGAGCTCCAGGTAAACCCGCTGTGGGCGGTATCGTGACAACGCGTCGTAATAAACATATGTTGCTGTCCCTTTAAATAATTTGAAACAAGGTCACGAGGTGGCGCGGGGATTATGGGAAGTGTAGTGAATAGTTTTCAGGGCAGCGCTTTCCTCTGCTCAGCGGGGCAGATGTGGAAGACTACAATCCCAGCGGCGCCGGGGTTGCTGTCTTGGCTCAGTTTCTGTCGACGTGGGAAAAGCGGCGCAAGAGCAAGCAACACTCAATCGATGGGTGTATGCGCTTGAGATGATACGAGTGTCATGCGAGAGGACGCGCGTCTCTGAAAACAGATTCCAGCATGTGGCTCAAACCCGAAGAGGTGCTTCTCAAAAACGCGCTGAAGTTATGGGTGACGGAGAAATCCAACGATTACTTCGTGCTGCAGCGCAGACGCGGATACGGTGAGGACAGCGGCGGGTTGACAGGTAACGTTACCGTGCTTTTGCAGCAGGTCAAGGGTTAATGCAGTCTTGCAGATTGGATGTTTTTGTAAATTTGACTGTCAGTGGACTGACGACGTCACCACTGCGGTAAACTGGCCGTGTGCATAAAGGTAGGCTACTTAAAAATGCAACATTCCTCCAGATATGATATATTTAGAAGCCGAAACGTGTTTAAAGCGGAGACTATTCGTGTAGGTCTGCTCCTTCTCTTTGACAGGAGTTGTTGCGTCACGCTGTGACGTCGGATTGTTTAGGTTTGAGGAGGATCAGGTGTTCACTGCAGATGCTCTCTCTCCAGTGTCACTCTGAGAGAAGGCCGTGTTGATTGGTGAAGCGACTTGGGAATATCCTGTCAGTAAAGGGCAGCATGATAACTGCAATTTGAACATGAAATGTTTTGAGAAATATAATTAATGATGAACATTTGCATGAGAACTAGAGTTGCACTTTATTTTAAGTCCTAAGTCGCACGCTATATTTGTAGCAATAGCCAGCAATACATTGTGTGGGTCAACATTATCGATTTTTCTTTTATACCAAAAATCATTAGGATATTAAGTAAAGATCATGTTCCTTGAAGATATTTTGTAAAAAATGAAAACCAAATTTTTGATTAGTAATATGCATTGCTAAGAATGTAATTTCTCGGCCAAAACTTTAAATGCAATTTTCTCAATATTTAGATTTTTTT